CGTGTGCATCAATTAAATGTAAAGTTTGAACATAATATTATTTTATAAAATATTTTTTTTTTTAATATTGAAAATAAAAATTAAAAATGTGCATTTATATTGTGTTTTTTTAATTAAATTAAAATATGCATGTGTTTTATGACATTATTTAGCAGTACATACACAATGAATTAATTTTCATTTTTTCTTGTATAAATATATTTGATGTATAATTATGCAAGTATGTATGTAAGTACATATTTATAAATTATTATATGTATAAATATATTTAACTTATTTTTGTTTGCAGACGCTATTCAAATCTTGAGGCCATTTATTACATGCATTTTTAGTTGATTTCATTTCAGCTTAATTGCTTGCTATTTTTAGCACGCTATGAATATATTTTTTTTATTTATTTTCTCTTTTGTTTAGTTAATTTTTTTTTATAATTTACACCGATAAGTACACACATACATACAATTAAAATGTATTATTAATTTAATGTTAGCCAATTATAGCCAGAAAATGAGCAACAAGTTGCCGTTGAAGTCACACAATCGATAAGTAAACTTAACTGAAACTTTCATCTCTATGCTAGGCATTTGAAAATTCCTATCGATTGTATGCAACACTTTTCCAAACTTTGTAAGCTCACTAAAGCTGCTTTTGTAGGGCCGGCTATATGTATATACTTATGTTCTTTTATATTAATGCATATAGTTATGTATGTTTTTCATACATACATAATTTTAAGAATTTAATAAATTTAATGATATTATGAAAATATATGTTTTTTTTTATTTCTAATTTTCAATGCATTTATGTACAAACACATACCCAATTTTGTCACTGTGTGTACGTATTTTTCAATATTTATTTGCCTTTGTAAATTTTGTTTTTAGGAAAATGAGCTGATCTTCCGCGGTTTAACCTGCTTTATATTTTATGGAGTAGTTATAGACAAATGCATTTGTGGAACTATTTTTTTATGTTTGGTTACAGTATTTTGCCATTTCTGTGAAATGAATTGTTTTATTTTTCGGTTTTTATGATCATAGATACAATATAAATATCTGCTCATACTTGTTCATACACTTATTTATATATGTTTGGAAATCAAAAACAGTGTTTAAAATTATAGAATTTTTTACACTAAAAACTATGTTATATATTTTAAGTCCAAATTAAATCTGATTGTGGTTAAAACGCTCGAGCTAGCCGGTTTGAAATAAAATTAGCCGTGGTCCATCTTTTATATTTAGCTTGATCTTTATCTTTATGCTTATCTTTATCTTCATCTCAATATTCGTCTTCATCGTCTTCATATTCATTTTTATATTTACAGTAACTCAAATAAATGACCACGTGGTAATTTTTTTGTTTGTTATTTTTCTATAAAAATACCGTCCAAGCTTTAACAAAAACCATATAATTCACCGTTTCAAACTTTATACAAATTCAGGAAAATTTTGATTTGATTTTTGAGATTTTTTTTTGTGTTCTAAAGATTCAGATTAAAAAGTTGAAATTTTTGTGAAAATTTGTTGAAATATAATAAATTTTGTATAACCGGTTGTAGTTGAAACTTGGACGGGTTTTTATAGAAAAATAACAAAAACAGATTAGCTCGAAACACATTACGAATGTCACTGTACCTTCATCTTCATCTTTCCCTTAATTTAAAGATTAAAAAATTTAAATTTTTATGAACATTTGTCGAATTTTAATAATATTTTGTATAAAATTTAAAACTGTGATTTCTATGGTTTTAGTTAAAGCTTAGACGGTTTTTTTTATAAAAAAATAACAAAAAAAATTGCTCGATATACATTACGAATATTAAAAAAAAAAAATCAACACGTGGTAATTTGTTTGAGTCACTGTACCTTCATCTTCATCTTTCCCTTACCAGCTTCACCATGTACCACCAACACCGTGGTGTTAATTGTTTAAGACAAACTTCTCCGACATCGATTAAGAAGTCTCTCTTCCGATTTGTGAAATACCCAGTGAAACTTCGGAAATCCTCCCAGCCTAATTGAAGGAGTTTTTCATTTTACCCATTTGCTATAGGCTCCCTTGTATGTATATGTTTTGTTTAGCCCACAAAACGGTTCCGGACCATGGAATACTCTAGTAAGTAGCTCCGTACTTTACTGGGCGATCCGTCTAGTCATTGCATCATGCCCCGGTACCCAGCCCAGAGGTACTGTATTCTTAACTCCACGAGCGTTTTGGTTACTTAATCAAACAGATAGGAGTTTATTTCTCAATGTGGGATACTAAGTAGTACTATCAGCAAGGTAGCCAGACGGTTCCACATACATAATACTGATGGACATATTTCGAAGATGTGCCTCTTTAAGGGCATTCTCTGTTACAAATATTCTTTTGCATATATTTTGGCTAATATTTGTTCATCGAGATATACGAATTGTTTAAGAAGTAGTTGAATCTTATATGAGTTGAATTAATTTGTTTGAAATGATTTAAAAAAAAGAACTAATAAATTCTAAAGTACCCCATACACTTGGCAAAGCATGCATATCATGCGCGGCACTTAGTGTTGTTTGGAGTTTTTTTTTTTTTTTGTTATGAAACCTAACGAACAGTAGATGTATGAACAAGTATGCATGTACATACATAAGTACATATATACGTATATATATATGAGCACTATGTATATGGTATTAGTTTTACATTTAAGCATTTTTTTACAAATAAAGCATCTGAGATTGTGAATCAATTAATTATATTTAGTTTAGGCTCGGATGAAGTTAATATTTATGTACTTTATAGGTGTAAGTGTGATTTGTTAGAAAAAGTATTTTTGTTTGTATATATGTATGTATATAAATAAATTAGTGTATGTTGCTGTAGATTCTAGAAAAAGGTTTTTTTCTTCATGCTTATCTATGTACACACATATGTATGTATGTAAGTATGTATAAATAAAGTGTTAATATGTATGAGTGTAAATGCTTGCGTGTAAGTACATTTGTATGCAGTATGTAAGTAAATATGTATATGCATGACTATTTGTGTATACTTTAATGCTAAAAAGTAATGAAACTTACGTACTTTTGAGAATATTCACAATGTTTTTCGCACACAAAAAATTAAGTGGTATTTTCCGCTTACATATTTCTTAAGACTAGTTTTCACTATGTCAAATTGTCAAATTTAATGCCAGATAATTGAATGTAATTTTCGAAAATGTGGTAAAAAACGGTATGTTAAATTATTTTCACTAAAATATAACTTCAGTCGTTTGCAAGTTTTGCCAAATTAATTGTCTATATGTTTTTGGATTCTTGTATTTACTTACGATATGATAAAGTATTAATCAACAACAAGTTTTATTTGTCACAATATGACAAAGTGAAAACAAGCCTCTACTCGCTTTCGACTCACTAGATGGGCTCCAATTTCTTTTTAAAATTGAAATACCCACATAAATGCGCTTAATACGGCATATTTTTTGTTGTTGTATTTTACTACATAAGTGATAGTTCTTCCCGCGTTGTTTTGACAAGTATTGACATTTTCTCGCTGACAGCTGTCAAGCAGTTGTCAATGCTGCCAGTGTAGCGCTATGCGTTTTTACTAGTAATTGAGTAATGTTCATATGTATTTGTTAGAAAAAAATTATAGCTAATCTATAGGTATAGTATAAATAGGGAAGAATTTGACAAACAAACTTATTTTATAAAGTCCAATTGATTTTTAGTGGATATATTTTCAATTAAATTATTTACTTATTCCTTTTTTAGTTTAATGTTAAGGATTGTTTTGTTTTGTTTCTTTGGCAAAGGAATTTGATTCCTCGCGCAATTTACGTACACAATACTTAGTTGTTTTTTTTTTTCATATTCTCATCGCAATTTTGAAAGTTTTTTAAACTTGACAAAATGTTTGAGACTGGCTTAAATACACCATAGCTGCACATTTCCTCATCGCTTTTTTTAAATGATGCTATTATGGTAATTTTTTGTTTGCGCTGGTGGACTTTTATTTAGTGTTATTAAAATCGTTTTTAGAATATTGTTAAAGCGATATTACATAGCGGTTTCACTATGCCCGAAATTGCACAATTTCGATAATCGACTTCAATTTGAAATTGGAAATGCTTATGCGACTGATCTCAAATAAAAATCAATTTCTATCAAGCTGCGGCTTATGATTTCGCTTGAGCTTCTGCTGATCTTTTTAAATAAAAGCTGAGAAACTATTTCTCTAGAAACGATTTCAACTTATTTTAAATTAATTTTTTTTAATAGTTTATTGATTCTTTTGAACCATTTATTTTGTTCTATTTAATTTTTCTTGCTTAAAATTCTTTCTCAATGAGGCAAATTTTTAGTCACATTCACGAAACTGAATCAAAATTTGACCTACCTATCTAAAGTTGTGACTTATACACAGTTTCCAAAGCAGGTTTTTCCATGACCAAATTGATAATCATATCGCGTACACAATTTGTGTGACGTGGCAACACACAATAATATTTTTTCTTCGAAAGCTTTGTGTACTACACAGGAATTTCGTTCAATTATGCCGTATTTTCACGGTGTATTAGAATGACAAACATTTTAATGAGCAAGTGCGCCATTAAAAAATAACCATGTCGTAGCGCTGCCAGGAATAGTCATTAAGCTCGTGTCCATATGGTCTTTTTTAGTAGATGATTAGGTTATAAATCAAAATTAGTGGCTATTTTTTTTTTGATATTTTATTATATGTATGTATGTATGTAAGTATAACCGTTGCTTAAAATATAAATTTTTTTGTAATTTAAATTTTGTTTTGATAAAATTACAAGTTACCAATAAAATTAGATGTATTACATAAAATTTTAAGTTTAGAAATTTTATCTTAAAGCATACAATTTTAAGGTACTTAATTTTTTTTTGATAAAAACATAAACGAACAAGTAATTTTTTAGCAAAAAAACAAAACCGACTTCAATTCCCATATAAAAATTTAAAAACGCGCTTAATTTCTTCATGATCCATTGATCGCATCTAAACCAAATTAATATGGGGCCACCTCTGAGGTTTCGCCTTTCCTTTAAAAAAGAATTTTAGCAATCGGTTAACGTAGGCCAAAGTTGTGTGGTAACATACATAACAAAAAAATAATAGTAATAAAAAATATTCCGACGAATTGATAACCCCTTCCTTCTTTGAAGTCGATTTAAAATGAAATTTCTAAACATTGTAAATTTTGAAATTTTGCAAAACTTATTTTCAAAAATTCCAACGCCTTTTATTAACACTAAACACAAACGTTTTTAAGTCCCTTCATACGCATCGATGTGAAAATATGCTATTATTTACATTACAGTGGTGGATTTTCGGTATTATGTAGTTAAATATTTATAAAGTCCAACACTCAGTATGCCCTCAAACACTTATGCATCACAAGTACTATGTATTTTCTAATAACCTGTTTTTTCTTTATTGTTAATTGTGATAATTGGCCTGGTGACAGTGGTTTCAATTTTTACGCTTTGTAAGTGTGTATAAACCAGCAAATTAATTTAAATTAATTATCCCGACCCCATTTCTTAGTCATATCCACTCACTTTCTCATTACACTTTTCAATTTTACATCACAAAAGGCTGCTGCTACTGCTGCTGCTTCACCTCCACCTACACCTCCTCCACTTCATCCACTTCATCATCCTTCTTGCGCTGCGTCCTCTGCGCTTACTTCTTATTCTTCTTTCTCTTGCTATTCTCCTCGGAAGACGTAGACTCTGCTGAGGTAGCTTTGGGATTGGGTGCAGCACCAACAACAACTTTATAAGTGGTTGGCTTCTTGCCGAGTTGTTGTGTGGGTGGTTGTTGTGGTGTGGCATGTGTTATGTTGTTGCTAATGGTTGGAGTGGAAGTGGTGGCTGTTGTAGTGGCGGTCATGCTGCTCGATGGCGTAACTGGCGTTTCATCCAAGAACAATGGATTCTTTACCTCCATTTCGCCCATTGGCTATGTACGCGTTGGAGTGTTGGAAATCGATGAAGAAGCAAAAAGCAAAAAAAAAAACGAAGAAAAAAATGGAAAATAAATTTATTATTCTCCGCCTGCTCAACCACTCGCTCGATACATTTAATATAATTCTATGTGCAAATATGATTTGCAAGAAAGACTTACCGGTGCAAGACCAGGACACTCATACACAGTGTAATCACCCTCCTCGTTCTCCTCATCATCGCTTTCCACATCAGACATGCCGCAGCTGCCCTCCGCCGCCTGACGATTCTCCATCGCAATTATCTGCTGTTTCTGATGCTGATAATGGTACATTTGTGCGCTTTGAGCCAATTTGCGATCGCCTGAGGGCGAGATGTCCTTATTCGGTCCGGTCACGCCATATGCCGGATATTCAACATCCGCTGCCGCCTTTGATTTGCGGTGTAATCTGCAAGAGGTTCACAAAAAAATAAAATGCCACGTTAAGTAAACAACAGTAATGCCACGCGTCATGCATTAGCGCGCAGTAGGAGAATAGACTTACGTGTACCAAGCGATGCCGAGCGCTATCAGACCCACTGTCACAGCGGCGCTCACGCCTGCAATCAATGCCACCAGATACATGCCCATCTCACCGTCCACGCCCAAATGTTGACGCACCACCATACCACCATTGGCATCACTACCGCCGCCCAATGCCGCCTCGCGATTATTGTGCATGGCCACCACCGACTTGCCTTCCTTCTGCAGCTTGTCGATGAGCGCGTGTCGTGGATTACTGTCGTCGCTCGCCGACTCGTGTGCATTGGGCTTCATTGCCGCTGCGACATTAGCGCCTGCGACCGCCGCTGCCGCAGCAACGCTCTGCGGTTTGATGCGATGGAAAGTGGCCGTATTGCCGTCGACTAATTTGGTAGTTTCAACAGGTGCTGGCGCGAGCACAGGTGACTTGGCATCAGCGGGAATGGCGGCGGCGGCGGCGGCGGCGTCGGGTGACGTTGCGGCGTGTGACGTTGCGGCGGTTACGCTTGCGCTATCAGGCTCAACAGCAGCCACTGCGACGCCTGGCGCGACTTTAGCGCCAACATTCTGCGACTCGGCTGGTACAAATTCCTGGTAGTCGTCCAAGGCGCGCGAATCCAATTCATCGCTATTGTTTTCCCCCTCCGCTTCGTCGCTGTTGCGCTCGTAGAAACGTGGATCGGCCGGCCCGACTGCGAAGGGTATGCGCTCACCCACGGCGTCGCCATTTAAGCTCACCATATTGGGCGGTGGGTATTTGTAGCTAAAGAGACCATTCGAGTCCACGTATTGATTGCCAGTGTTGATGTCGTTGTTGTTCTCGAAATTTTTGTAGCTGTTATATTGATTGCGATTGGCATCGTAAACGTCCTCATCCATTTCGGTCGATTCCACATCGATCTCGCCCTCTCTCTCCTCCTCGTTCGCTTCCGCATTCTCAGCGGCCAACAGCTGCAGACGTTGACTCAAACGTTCACGTTGCTCTTCGCGCTGTCGCTGGCGATTCATTTGCATATTGATGCGTTCCAATTGTTGTTCGAATGTTTGTTGTAAACGTCGCCGCGCATTCTCCTCCATTAGTTGGGACAAATAATCGGATGATACATCAAAAGGTTGTTGCAGAAATTGGCGAAACGGTTTGCGACGAAGCCCTGCAAGTGAACAAGAGGCGTTAAAGTTAAGTAATCGTCGTATAACGGTTGAAATACAATAAGAATAAGGAAGTGAAATGCTTGTAACGGCATAGTAAGTAACTAGGTTTCTGAAGAGGGGTGAGCTCTAGTTTTTTTTTTTTTAATAATAAAATTTGCATTTTTTCGCCTTTGTAAGCGCTTTTGTTGTTTTGTATCGGGGTGTAGCCTATTCCATCTCACTCATTGCTTGCTGTCTTTCCCTCTGTGTATGCAATACGATTCCACTTTTATTCTGTCCAGTTCTTTTTACATTTATAATTTACATTGCAAACATTTCCATTTCAAGGAAAAGCGCAATATTTCTACGTGGACTACGTCGACATCAAGGATACGAAGGATTACCCAACCAGCGAGAAGGCGTTAAGATGGAAAAGTTTTGTATTCATCTAGTTTAACGTTCGCATATTCATGTATACGAATAAAATCCGGATATCCGATTGATAGTATCCGATCATTTGGTTATCCGAATATCCGGTTAGTATCCGATCATTTGGTTGTCCGGATATTCTAAAAAATATTTGAACGGATTCGTAAAATTTTTCTCAAAATTACCGAATCTATCGAGTTGCAAAATAAATAACAGTGCACTTCATAATACAATTGTAATTTTATGGTTAATATTTAGATTCGAATATCCGCAAACCCGGGAAACACTACACTATTCGGTTACCCAAATATAAGCATGCTATTCGGATATTTAAATATTCGGATTTTTTGTACAGACATTCGAATATCCCGATTGTTCGCAATGTCAAAAAGTCCGGATACGCAATAGAAACAATGAAATAATAATTAAAACAAAAAAAACATATTCTTATCATAGTTAGCTGTGTCGATACAGCTTTTGATATAATCTCCGATATGATTTTCTATCGATATTTTTTATCAACACATTTATCGATAATTATCGATGTAATTACTTACACTTTTATAAATAAATTGCACTAATGATATATTGATCGATATTGTTATCGACATTTCAACATATGTATGTAGATATATATTATTTTCATTTTGATATAGATAATACATATGTATGTATATGGATACACCGATAAATCCATCGATCGATATATTTGTCGGTCATTATATTGGTTTAATTTTTTTATATCATCATTGGTACGGCTATGGTTAATGCCATCGACATCGATATTTATTTTTTTCCATATCTTTTCATATCGATAGGTATTTACGCTGGACACACAGACTAAAGGCTGAACTCAGAGAGTAGGCAAAAACCAGTTGCTATATAAAACGCACTCGATGGTTCAATTTTTAAGGGAGTGCCTCCGTGCTCTCGCCCGGTAGCTGCCTGTCCAAACTGACCCATCCTAACCTAATATCTCGGCCAGAAATTTCCATTCATACATAATTACATATATATACATATACGCGTTTACGTCTATTGAGTGGTTTTCGTTCTGCGTTTGATAAGCTCAACTGAATGTTTCTGAGAAAAGTCCATTATAAAACTTCGATATTCGTAATGGAAAAGTTTTCTCTGGCTTGTTTTACCTTTGCATACTAATATAAATTTTGCATATTTTGTAGATGCTAGAGAATTTTCGAAACCAAAAAAAAAAAGTATAGAAATTTCACATAAGAAAATGAATCGCAACTTTTATCTTGGAGTTTAAGCGCGTGCAGAAATTTAATGTTGCTTTTGTATGCCACAAACCGCCTACACACAAATTCATTTGATGGTAAATATTTCAGTTAGACAGATATCAAAAACAGCCAACAGCTTCCAGTTGAATTGTGTAGGCGGTTTATCAAAAAATTGCGTGGAAAAATGCCAAGAAAATCCAACAAGAGATGTGATTTTTTTTTTATGTAAGTCAAAGTTTCCTTTAAACGCCCACACGAAATCCAATGCGATTTACGTGTTGTAATTATTAAAATGGAATTTATGTACCTTTCAGAGCATTAAATTCATTATGGAAACGCGGCAGATAGAAAAAATTCAACGAAATATCATCTGTCAGTGTTCCCTTAAGTACTTTGGTCGTAATGCCGCTATGGCAGAAATTAAAAGCGGATTTTTTGTTAATATCTGGCGCCAAATTTCAATCTTTGATTTAATATTTTGCCTAAATGTATGCTACAACTGAGGAAAGTTATTTAAGCGTGATCTTAAATTTCTCTCCAATTTCCGTGAAAGGGCCACTGGAGGAGGCGCAATGATGTTTCTTTGGCGGAGTCACAAAAGTGACATATACTACGTTTATACGCATGCATAAGTCGCTTTAATTCATTTCGCCGCGATTCAAAACATATGTATAAACTGAATTTCAATTCGCTTTGAAAGAGCGAAGTGTTTTGGCTCACACTCTATTTCAAATCGGTAGTTTATTTCTCCAGACAGTTAGAAAGAGTGTATAAACACCGCTCTCAGTCAAAGCGAATTGGAGATCAGCTGTTCCGCTCAAATTCCAAATAATCCCATCAGTATTTAAAAGCTGATTAATAATAATGGTTCTTTTTCTTTGCCACGATTTTATAATGCCGAATAAAACTAGATTTTTATCACTTTCCATTATGGTAACTTATAAAATGTCAAATGAAAAAAGCTAATTTTGTTTTCTTTTGAAGACGGTTACTTTGATGCCGATATAAAGCCGTAAGTATAAACACTAGAGCGAAATGTGTACGGTGTTAATGCGCTTTCAATTAAGTCGATTATTCTGTGCGTATAAACGTAGTAATAGGTTGCTTAACGCTTAGCCTACAATAGCCTGTAATAGTTCTTAGTCTCTCTTTGGGAAGGTTTATGGGTTCGCTCAGTTTGGTATTTCATTTTCTGAGCACTTTCTTTATCGAGTTAGTTAACTGATCGGATTCCTCATTTCCTTCGTCTCCCAAGTGTACCACAAATCAGTTGGACAGCATTGTTCTCAGCCTAAGCTTCTCTCTACACTCCAGGACCAATGAGGATTTGACCTCGAAGGATGAGAGAGCTATACGTGCCGCCTGACTATCATTTATAATAAGGTTCTCTCCATTTCAATAGTTCCAACGAAGGTTAATCTCTGAACACATACTAATGGCATAGACTTCCGCTTGAAGGATGATTGTAAACGTTCCCAAGGGCTCCCAAAGTTTCGATCTAGGTCCGTATACGCCTGCTCCAATACCCTTCGGGTTCTTTGCGTTGTTTGTTAACCGCTGTAGTGTGCTCGCCTGGATGTGTCTCTCAATAAAGAGGTACTCCAGGTAGTCTAGCTGTATATACTCGTATCAAGCTTAGAACTTCTTTCGAAAATACTACTCTATGCATATCGTCTCTATAGAACAAAACTGCTTGTTTTTGTTCCTACCAAAGCCCTCTTTCGCGAGACGTTGGTAGAGTAGTTCTGGATATCCAAGCCACTACCCCACAGGTCTCGCTATCATGGTGTACATCCATTTTGGGATCTTTGGGTTGCATCCGCAGCTTTTGCATGCCGTTTCTCTACACGAGTTTGGATTCCAGGATAAGATCCACATACATCACTTCTGTGAAAGTATGTTAAAAGGTGGCAACCCCCTTAAATAATATGTTTTAAATAAATCATTTTATAACCCCTTTCGTTTGACATTTGCACTCCCTCACTCACAAACTTTCAAATTTATGATATTAGTNTGCCCGGGCATCAGTGCCATAAATCGATAGTGGAATTGATTTGACGAATGGATAGCATATGTATGTATGTAATAGATCGCAATTAAAATAAAATTCTTAAAAATTATTTTAAAATTTCCAACAACTGGAAGTCGGAAGTGTGACATTAATTACTTTAATTGTCGACAAAGTTAACAAAGTACACCCACTTAATAAAATCGATTGGCGCTTACACATAATATGTTAGTGTTTGGCCGAGCTTCTCCTTATTTTTATGAGAAGCTGTTTTTCATGGCAGAAATACACTCGGATGTTTGCCATTGCCTGCCGAGAGGCGAGCGCTATTAGAAAAAAAATTTTGTGTTTCTTGAACCCCGAACCGGCGGAATGGTAGCGCGCACTGCTAACTACTACACCACAGCGGCTGCCCTAGGACACCCGCTTACTTCTCAAAAAAAAAAAAATAGTAATAAATCGAACCCAAAAATTTCCACGACACACATTTGTATGCATGAATGTACATACATACATATTTACGTATAAATCGACGCACATAAATAGGCTGATTAAAAATTTAAATAGTTTCACACTTCGTCAGCCATGACTTTATCTCCTTTTTTACACAGCTAATTAACGAATTTAGGGCATGAAAATTTCCGCTAAGCTTGATTATTGGTATCAGCTTGAGCGCACGAAATTGCAGAAATGCCAGAAATAACAAAAATAGCCCAGAAAGTACGAGTACCGGATTGTAAGCATATAGAATGGAAGAACTCAAACTAAATGAGGCACTCAAGTAAATGCAGTGCAAATACTACAAAGAATAGATGATGGAAGTACATATATCTACACACAGAGACTACCACCACCAGTAAAGCCATTCAGAGAAGTCATTGAAATTCACCAGCAACGAGCGTACAGCATTAAGTTTAAAAATAACCCAAAACTTTTCTATTGCAATTACACACACAGCGGCAACATGAAAAACTTCTGAAATCTCCAAGCTTCTTGCCAACGACCGCGAACGCGTTGATGCCACCAGTGGAGCTCTGCAATATACCGCCGCAGATAGTTCGTAAATGAATTGTAGCTCCGAGAGAGAGAGAGAGAGAGCGGGGAGGGATTGAAGGCAGGCCGGATTTAAAGCCAAGTGTGTTAGATAAGAAAAGTAACTGTATGTACCCGCTGTGCTAAACAGTTAAGACAAGGCCAACACCCTCGGGCACCAATGTACACTGAACGCATGAATTCAATTCACTCGCAAGAGAGGGGCGGGATGGATGTACAGCGGCGCATTGGCTTAGCAAGGCCTATGCCGTGCCGTGGGTGGTTGTGGGTATGCTAGATTGTGTTATGGTGTCGCTTGAGCTGTTAATATTTGTTGTTGTTGCCATTGCTGTTGTTCTTCAAGTATTATTCTAGCTGCTGGTGGGTGTGAGAAATAAAATTTGTTTTGTGTTTTTGTGATTTTTTTTTACACTTTC